AATTTTGGTTTTCATTAGAGAACGTGTACAATCTGTTTCCTAAGTCATTCAGACAGCAGCTAGCTGATAATGGAGCATTGCCAATCGTCACTGTATTTCATCAGCATCCATCAGCCTAAAGGATCCATCCATCAGTTACTTGGTATAAGAGGAATAAAGCCCTTGTGCTATATCACTGTCACAAATTTGTCCTCCTGCTTTAAAAGCAGTTTATTATAGGAACATTTTGTAGCTACAGGAGGAACTGCCTTTTAATTGTGCTCTGCGATTAATCAAGGAAAATAGAAACCGATTTGAACAGAGCGAGCTAAACAGCTAACCGTACATTTGAGTGCTTATTTCCATGGGAGATGTGCAGACACTTAAGCACATGCTTAACTTTATACACGAGTCGTTCTGTTAACTGTTTTCAAGATTGGAGCCTGATTTCTTTTATTGCTCGCTGATACCAGCTGGGATTCTTCCTTTATCTTATTTTAGAATGTAATGCTGCCATCCATCCCCAGGGCATCTGAGTAAGAACAATTATGATAGAGAAGTTTCCAGTGGAGAAGATCATGGCATGTCTGGCACTGCCCCCTTTTGGAGGGGTCAAAACTCTGCTTGGAGGGTAAGGATTAAAAACAGCCGTGTGTGTGTGTGTGTGTTATACACCACCTTGACACACTCCACTCTGATATCACATGGGGCAAAAAGAAAAGTTAGTTTTTACAGGGGGAGGAAATGCAATTTTCATGGCTAATATGCTATGAAATGTCTCTAACACAGACATGCATGTGCAAACACAAAGGAAGGTATGATTTTGCTGAGCAGTGAAAAGCTGGGGTTTTGTCAGCAGAAAGCATAAACAGTTGCTGTGCATTCCAGTGGCGTACACTTTCAGTTGGATCCTTATCAGGGCTAGTTCTAGGGTCCCATTATTGGGGAGGGGACAAGTGGGCATTTTGGATCCCCTGGATGTTGCTATTTAAAAAATGAACAACCTTCCAGGAGTCCCGTGGCTAGTCAGACCCCTGGAAAATCTTAAGAGTTTAAAAAAGTAAAATTTGGCTATTGTGTGAATATCTGATAATTATCACTGCTACTGCGGCTGCTACTTAACACTGGATAACTTTGTACATATTTTGGCCTTTCTGGCAATAATTTGGGCCCCCCTGAAGGTTATTGGGGGTAAATGTCCCCTTTGCTCCCCACCCTGTAGTACTGGGCCTGCTGCTCACATAGTGAAAATGTCTCTCTCTATGCAGGGGATGATATTCATTTTATAAATGGAACTGTCCGTGACTTCTGAAGATTCCCAGGCGAAGTGTTCTCCATCACCTTGAGAGACAGCGCGCATTTAAAACAAAAAAGTCAGATTCGGAAATGTCACTGAAAAACACATCTTAGGTTGCTCAACCACACTGGAGAGCATCTAGATCAAGAGATAAAGTTCTCCCCCACGTCTTGAAGAAAAAAAACCCAAAGTAACAAAACAGAAAAACAAACATAGGTTTATTTCTAACTGTAATTAAAGAGCAGCTGTGGGGGTCATTGTTTCTCGTCTATGCTTAGTCTATGATACTAATCTAACTTCTCAGCTGTACAATCTTAACTAAATTCTTCCCCATCCCTAGCTAAAGAAAACAAACCTGGGTGAATAGTCCAGCAGAGTATCCTAAGCAGCTCTGAATTCTTAAAGTGGCTTATAGGCTTTGAGCAAATCTGCCCCACCTGTGTTGGTTGTGTTTCTTTATAAGTGGAAGAGTCAGACTACACCTTTTTCTAAGGGTCTGTATTTGATTTCAGCTTTCTCAAGTAGCAGGTCAGCTTCAAGTGGGTGAGTTTGCTAAAAAAACAATTGATTTTCAGAAAGTTTTGGCATGTTTTGTCCTCCTATTTCTCTTTCCACAGGGGTATTCCAATTAAAAGCTGTACAATCTCATTCTTTTGGCACACCCACCCAGTCTAAAGGAACTTGTCTTAAATTAGTTCTTAACAGTTAACTAGCACCCACCAGTGTCTGAGGGACTTAATCCTTTTTTTTTATTATCTTTATTCTGGCCAAGAGGAAACCACAAGTAAAAACATTAAAGAACTAGAAAGAGCGTTTGTTTGTTTTGTTTGTTTGTTCTAGGAAAAGAAAGTGTTCTTTTGTCCCAGGAATAAAGCAACCCAAACTTTATCCTCTTTGTCCTGGAGCTGAGACAAAGGGATGCTCCCAACTTGTGGTGGTCCCTTTTCAGGGATTCTAAAATGAATGTCTATAAGCCAAGAGTTGTCAAGGACATGCCTTAATCACAATCTTTCTGTGGATGCTTGCATTAGCACCTCCTCCCCCACTCAACCACAAATAACTGAAATACTGTGCTCAACCAGGCCTCCTTTCTTTCTTGCTTTCTCTGTGGCAATTCCTGTATCTTTCCATTTAAGAAACAAAGGTAAACTAGTGTAAAAACAGACATAAGTGGTGGAGAATCACACTCAGTATTTGTGTTTTGGGGCTGACTCTCTCATTAGATTGAAAATATTTTTCCCCACGAGCATTGATTTGACTTGTTTCTCTAAGCATGTCAAGCTCTAATCTAGATACCAGGGATTAGATTCACTTACTGAAGTTTGGAGCCAAAATACGTTTTGTGGATCTGGGCCTAAGTGAACAGGAAACTTGTTTGTCAGAGGATAAAACAAAATTTAAGACCAACTACTTTCTTGTATCCATCTAATTGGTGGCTTACAGATTCAATTAAGTATTTGGCTAGTTTCTTGGCAACCTCCCCAGCTCATATTGTCTTTCATCACAAGAGAGATTACTATCAGAAATTTTGCAGGAATGCATGTAGCCATAGCTCCACGTAACTCAATTCCGTGTCTGAAAAGAGTCATCTATCCTGATGCTTTAGGGGTCACAGAAGGTGTCTTGCTTAAAGATCACTAGCAAAGCAGAATGAATTGGCTTGATGATCTCTTGCTGCTTTATGATGTATTTAAAAATCATGAGAACTTCCTCCCACTCCCACCCTTCAAACTTATTTCCCCTTAGCTGTATCAGGAATGTTCTGTGTTGTCTTCTGGAATGAAAGTGTGCTAAGGGCTTTTGCAGCCCCCACTTCTTTAGTTCCGGGCTGCTGAATCATTTAATTAAAAAAAAAATCTGAATAGATTAAGAGAGAAGGTTGGCGTTAGCCATCCCCAGAGTCCTCCCAGCAAAGGCCCAGGTGAGCTGCTTTTGCCTGAATTAAGCTGACTGAGGCTCATCCTAGCAGGGATTTGAGCAGTGAACTCTACTAGCTAACCAAAGGTAAAAGGGTTTAACCTGGATCTGTACTTGAAGAAAAGTTGAGGCTAGGTCAGGGTTAGCCCATGTGGTGTCTGTCCCTAGTCTAATCTTTCTCTCCCTAAACTGCACAAACCCAGAGTCTGAATAAAAATCACTTCCCCTCAGATTTCACTTGCTTTGTACCCCTGCACCTGTATTCACTTGCACCCACAGTACAGGCCTGATCAGCGGCGGCTCCAGGCACCAGCGCTCCAAGCGCGTACCGGGGGCGGCCTGCGAGGGCGGCAGTCAGGCCGCCTTTGACGGCATGCCTGCAGGAGGTCCCCCAGTCCCACGGATTTGGCGGCAATTGGGCAGCGGGTACGTCGAATCCACGGGACTGGTGGACCTCCCGCAGGCATTGCCGCCGAATCCAGCGTGACGCTGAAGGCAGCCCGCCTGCCATGCTTGGGGCAGCGAAAAAGCTAGAGCCGCCCCTGGGCCTGATACCAATGCTTTCTGATAACATCTTCCTCCAGATTACACACTCAGTGTTTCTCTGTAGATAAAGATAAGAGGGGTAGTGGTAATATATAAATATATGCATTGACTTATACAGAAATGCAAGGGTTAACCATCTGAAGTTGCTCTAAATTATCGCGGTGTCAAGGAAATAAAAATCCATGTTCTCTGCTGCTCAAATCCAGGAAAGGTGCCAAAGTTTCTAGATAAACAGAAGCATGGAGGTGACTTGTTACTGTTTGTTTTTGGATATTTTATTTTGAAACAGCTTATGGTGTAAATAGACATTACAATAAAACAAGTGGTAATTGGAGCAGGGGAATAATGGGGAGGGATATAGGCTTATGCAGCTTATGGATTCAGCTGCAAAATGCAGTGGTTCTGAGCATTTAGGTGAATTCAAACTCCCTTCACCGTGAAATAGTATGAATGGACCCAGGGCCAGCTCCAGCATTTTTGCCGCCCCAAGTGGCTGGTGGGGGGGAAGCCACGATCAGCGGCACTTCAGCGGCAGCTGTACCAACGCCACGTCATTCTTCGGCCCCTTTCCGTTGGCCGCCGCAAGCACCTGCTTGCTGCGCTGGTGCCTGGAGCTGGCCCTGAATGGACCCAACCCAGGACAATAGTTCCGTGATGCCCGGGAGAAGGGAACCCACTGGGATTGGCATAGCTTGATGCACTAAAGGGTGATGAAAGTTCAGCTCTTGCCAGCTGGTAAGAACTATCTCACACACAGCTGTCTTCCCCTGTGGTACAACAAACCACATCACTGATGCCAATGGATGTTTTTACCCCAGGGATGAATTTGGCTCCTTCTGCTGTATGCACAGGCCTCTTGCATCATGCATTAGATCTGTGTACTTGGTGCAGAGTATCTGGTTCCCGAGTGAATTTGAAGTGTGTGTGTGTACACACCAGTTTCTCCACCAGCCCTGGCAATCTGGGGGGTGAGGAGTGTAGGGTGTCTCCTTCCTTTTCTTTGATTCAGGTGCACCTGCCCCCAGTAGCAGCAGCTGTTAGCACTTGAGAAACAGGGAAAACAAGCCGGAGGCAGCATGAGCTTTGCTGGGAGCTCAGCTTGGACTGCGTGGAGCCTCTTAGCAGCTTGGAAATTTGTCAAAGGGAGGAGTTGGTTGCATCTCCCCTTTCCATGCCTCCACCCCCCTTCAGTGTCTGATTGGGCATGAGGCTGCCTGGCTTGCTTATAAAAGCAGAGCCTGGCTTTTTTTCTACCCACTATTGAAGTGAGCTCTCCAGAGCAGCAGGAAGAAGGGGCTGTGCTAAACTGACACTGATGAACGGGCTCTTAGCGAATTGTCTGAAATAACAAGTGGCTTAAACGTGCAAAGGTATGGGTGAGCTTGACTTGTGGAGAAGCCTTATGGAATTTAATGGAGAGAAACTGCTATAGAGCATGGATTTGAGTCTTAGTTAAATGCAATCAGTTCTTAGAGTAACTTCTTTAGGACACTGTTTAAATTCTGTAGTAACCTATTAGTTTTATCCTTTGCCATAAGAGGCTGGGGTGGGGGGAGATGTTGCTATGATAGGCAAACTTTATCTTCTCCTACTAGGTTGTTAATGGTGCAGCAGGATAGAAAGGGACTTGGCATGCAGGCAGGGCTTTGCTTAGCTGCTGCCGGTCAGAAGATGTTCATGTGCTTCTGCTTCTGTTTGCAGGTGAACTTGAGCTCTGCCGCAGGGACCTTTCCCTCTCTGTATCCAGCTGCAGTGATGTGGTTCTTGGAGAAGATGAAAGCATCACCTGGAAACAGCAACCCACTGAGTCCTTCCTTCCTGGGACTGCAGCCTGGTCAGATGGTGCCAGAGAAAGCCCGGGTTGGGGCAGCTACTTTTTCCAACATTTTAACCCCAGACAGGATCCCAGAGTTCTGCATCCCACCCAGACTGACCATTTCCTCTCCGCATGATCGCTGCCTGGCAGAGCCCAGTCTACATCCTCCTGGCACGGCCGATTGTAGCCCCAGCCCATTCTTGCCGCATCTCATCCAGATAGAAAGTGCCGAGGAGATTTCAGCCCTGGAGGAGGACTGCTCCAACTCAGACCCACAGTCACAGGCAGCGCTGTCCCTGCCCCACTTCCCCAAAGCCCAGACCTCCTATGGCTTCTGCACCTTGCTGGAGAGTCCCCACACCAGGAGGAAGGAGTCCATCTTCCACAATGACCCATGCAGCAGCTCTCTATCCAGCTTGATGCTGCCTCGATCCAGAGCCAATACCTACGCTGGCAGAGGGGCAGCTTCCAGCCCCATTGCCATTAGCTCTGCCTCTGCCAGAGTGCTTTCTAAGCATCCGCTCCTGCACAGGCAAGGCGCTGGGGACAGTGATACTACCTCTTCCACGGACTCGTCTCCTTTCAGCTCCCCACTGCTGAGTAGATCTCCTCCCAGATCCTGCCCATTGTTCAAAGCTCGGAGCCAAGAGGGGCTGCTTGGCAGGGCACTGAGAGCAAGGAACAAATCCAGCATGGTAAGGAACAACTCCTTATCGACAGATGAGAGCAGCTCCAATGATAACAGCCCCAATGCCACCAGGAGGTCTTCAGAGGGGCTAGTTGAGTCCTTCCGTACGCGGAGCTTTCACCTGTCCCATTCCGCTATTTTCCCACTAGACCTTACCTGTGGCCGAGAGAGGCTTGTTGGGGAGAGCACAGTGCTACTGGACAGAGGAGGATTGTTGAGACTGTCAGCCGAGTATTGTTCAGACAACAGAAGGCTGAGACTCCGTCTAATCAGTGCAGAGGGTTTATATGATGCAACTGTGGAGCCTAAAAGTATAAACTGCTGCATCACCTTCTCCCTTGTGCCAGGGAAAATTCAGAAGCAGAGAAGCACTGTTATTAAAAAAAGCAGAAACCCCATCTTTAATGAGGATTTTTTCTTTGATGGTATTGCAGAAGATGATCTGTACAGCTTTTCGGTGAGGATGAAAGCTACAAATAAAGGGTGTAGCTTGAAAAGAGACAGTGTGTTAGGTGAAAGTGAACTGAGTTTAGTGAATCTTTTATCCATCTAAAATGCCAGGCAAGCAAGCAGATATTTATTTTTGTATTTTTAAAGTGTTTTTAAATAAATGATTATTTACAAATTACTTTTTAAAAGCCTTTATTTGGTTTTGTCTGGTAAGTCACCTGCTCTTTCACTGACAACAATGTTAATTGTAAGTTGATCATTTGTAGAGCAAAACCTTAGGTTTGTGTGGTGGTAATAATTTCCATGGCTGCATGGAATACTATTACGGGCTTATGGAGATAAAAACGTTCTGCAAAGGTTTCCTTTCTAAAGGAGAGTATTGTTTTTAAAACCAAGGCTAGGTTTGACATGTCTAGCACAAAGGTTTCCTGATCTGGGTTGGGGCTTACAAATGCTACAGTAAAGCAAATAAAAACAGAACACTGGTTTTGAAAGGTAATAACATTTACACTGTTCTAATCTAGATGGAAAACACTGCCAGTTAGTTTGTGCTGGGGGCCCTTGACATGACATGCTGGTTTTGAAACCAATTCTACTCTGCTATGGGGCCAGATGGTTCCTTATTCAGGAATGGGAGGGAAAGAGTAAAGCACAAAGCAGAGGCTAGGAACTTAATTCCCTCTTATTCACCTTAAGTTTAGAATGTTATCTCATCAAGGGTAATAAGTTTAGCTCCTTTTGGAGCAGGCAGGGCTAAGGGCCACCAGACCTTCAGTGAGGGGGAAGTCATTCAGATCTTTGGGGAAAAGGGGCTTCAATGAAGACCCAAGACACTGACCTGGGGGCTTCCTGTCTCTGCTACACCCTGGGACCACTAATGATGACTGCATGTTGATCTTCCATACACTCTCTGCAAAAGGTTGGTCTCTGTTGGGTTGTGCAGCACACAAGGAGATGTTGGAAGCAGCAGTGTTGGCTGGTAATCGTTATCATGTTAGGAAATAACCAAGGGGGCTCACAGTTATTGATACTGGAGAGATGCAGCTATTGCAACCAATCTTCCCCTTCTCTCCCCCACCCCCAGCCTTTGATAGTGGTGTCTGAGGGGCAAAGCATGAGAAGAAGAATGGAGCTGGGTTCAGGATCTGGGCTTAGGTCACAATGTGGGCTGAATTCCTGGTTCTGCTGTGGACTTGTGACCTTGAACAAATCGGTGCATCTGTTTCTGTTCCCCAACTGTGAAATGCGGTTAATACTTCCCTACCACGCAGTGGAGTAGAGTATAAACTCCATCAGTGTTCCTGAGACACTCAGTAAAGTGACAGGAGGAGGCACCAAACCCCTAGATGTATGTGTTTCCTGGCCAATTACTGCCCTCATTGGCTTCCCTCTGCTCATAAACTGAGGGGAGCAGATTGGCAGTAACCATTTAGTAACTTTGTGAATGGAGCATGGGAGTGGATCCAGGAACTAGGCATTGAACTCCTGGGTCTGCTGCCAACCTATCTGACCTTGGTTCAGTCAGATGCTCAGTCTGTGAAATGTAGATAAGATTTCATACTTGTAATGCATAAGGGAGGGGAACAGAGATGCAGAGACTGAAAAATGAGGGACTTTTCCTACGTATCGTGAACAGAATAGAATCAGGGTTGCAGATGTAAGGTGCTGTTTGTGTAGAGTATTATTGCCTGAAGCTTTTCAAAAAGGTGTCCACTTCTAACAGAAGCAGCTCTTCCCCTTCCTTACCCCCTGAAGTTCAGTCTAGCAACCTTCTCATATTTGAGAACTATAACTGACTGCAATTTGCAGTCACATTTGAGAGTGGGGCTAGAGAAGGGCCGGTTCTTCCAATGAAACCACGTTGGGCTGCTTAAAAGTCTTTCAGTCTTAACTGCATCTTTCTCACTTGTATGGACTACTGATGAAAGCCAAAACTGATAGGTGTCACAGAAGATCTGTAATTCACATGGATATTGCTATGATCCAAAACACAGGGCCCTGGTGAAAATGGAATGGGTAGGAAAGAAGCTTGAGGGGAGAAAATGCTGAGTTCATACACAGAAGCAGATTAAGCTTAATCATGATCCCTTTGTGTTCAAGCAGACAGACAAACTAGGGCTTACCAGAGCTGAAGCAAAGAAACTTTTACGTCCTATTAACAAAAAGGAGAAGGGAAAACTCTACCAGGGAGGAGTGGACAAAACAGAAATAAAAAGATGCAGGATAGGTGTGAAGAAAAGAAGCAATTTCTTTAATGTCACCTGCATAATCAATTTTGCTTACAAACTAGTTTTCTCCTCCCCATCATAGCTGTGTAACTGTACCTGCTCACCAGGAAGAGTTTTCCCAAAGAAAAGCTCAAAGCGCCCTCTTCAGGCTCACTGTATGCAACTTTTTGAACTGAGTGGGTTTGCTTGTAAATCGAGTATGCATGGGAATACAAAGATTGGACATGACTGTGAGGGGTGTGACACCCCCCCCCATACTCACCCTGAAGGGGTTAACAGAGGTCATATGGGCCAATGAGGCTGCAAAGTGGGGGACACTCAGGTTGAGAGAAAAGCCCTAATAAGAGGAAGCTCACAGGTGCTGGAACAGGTGAGGCTTCTATAAAGTGAGGGAGCTGGTAGTAGAAAAAGGGCTGCAGTCCCTTTCCCTAGGACAAGGGAGAGGGAGGGATTTGTCTAGCGGACCCAGAAGAAAGGGGTTTGGTTAAAAGGATAGAAAATGGGAGCCTGGGATAGGCAAGGTAGGAAGTAGTCTAAGGGAATGGCAGGAAGGTTTATGGTTGCCTGGACCTTTGCTGCTGGAGCTAGGGCCCAGGACTGGAACCCAGAGTAGAGGGTGAGCCTGGGTCCCCCTACCAGTCATTGAATGAGAGGCACCATCTGGGTAGTGAACTTGAAGATTGTCCAGGTCCATTTGTTCTAGCCACTGAGGGAGTGGCTCAGTCAGGGCAGTGGAGTTAAGGACTGCCTGGGAGCCATGGAAGACTGTAAGAGTACACCAGAAGGGGAGGACTCTTGTGACTTGGCCAGAGGGTTAAGCCAAGAAAATGTGGTGCTGCAGCTCCTGAGGAGTAAGAGAGGGGCCACAGAGCAACAGAGTGAGACAAGGGGCTGGGGAACTGCAAGCAGAGGGAGTCAGGCTGAAAGAGCTAATCCCTAGAATCGCCAGGAGCAGGAGGTGAGCAGAGATCCCTGTGACACAGATAAACAATTAAGCTGGTTGGAGAGGCAAATACAAAATTTTTGCTACAAAAAAGAGCATCTGTTCCTGAGCAGACAGACACTGTTTGCTCAATTTGAGACCAACAGCTACTTATGATGGTAGTCCAAAAGAAATCTGGCCTTAGTATGCTATGGACCTATCCAGATATAAAAGAAATGGATTGAATCTCTATTCCTTACAGTGCAAAAAAACTGAGTTTCTAGATGGGTTCATAGGCTGTCCATGTTCCTTCAAGATGGACTTCAGTCTGAGCTGTTAAGGAAACAATGAGCCAGTTCCAGAAAGATATGGTTAAAAAAAGAGGGAGTGGACTGAAGCAGGACTGAATAGGGTGGAAAACAGCAGTAGAAGGAAATGGAAACAGTAGTGGAGGAGGATGAACTAAGGAGAACCGGAGACGTGAGGGTGGGGAGACAAGGTTGAGTGTGACTTGGATACCAGAACTCATGAGAGAGGCAGCTGCTGGAACACTGGAGAGTCAGGGATGCAAATTGTGAGGGTGGAGCAGACTGGACAGAAATAGAGAGAGCACAAAAGGGAGTCTGACCCTAGGTGATGGGAAGCTGGAGGTAGGAAGGAAGGGTGACACCACTGTATGTCCAATGTACTTGTACTTTCTAACTATAAATGTGGCACAATGACTGGGTTCACATGTGAACCAGGTGCATAAATTCCTCATGTCCGTAATTTAAAGTCAGTTCCTATTTTGGCTCCATTGCCTGTGTCAACCCACCAGTAATGGGCTGCTTTACTATCGCACTGCATCCCATAATGTTTTTGCAGTAGATGAGTGCAGGTTGTTGGAGCTGGTCAGAAAAACTCTGATGAAACACCTTTTCATTGGAATTTGCTAATTTGTGAAAATCTATACCGTCCACAGAGACTTTGATTTTGATGATGATAGAACCTTGCCTGCTTTCCTGCCAGCTTGCCCATCCAGCTCCTTGGCAAACAGGATGGGGTGTTACAGCAGTACACTAAAGATTTTCAGCCTCAGGGATGCCATCTCATCTGAAAACAGGAGGGAGGGCATGATATCCTTGCCACATCTCCCTTAGTTTAGAATCTCTGAATGCAGAGTCTCTAGCAGGCCAGAGTTCAGATGACGTTGCAGGGATGGGTCCCAGTAATTCACAAACGTGGCTTTGAGGGAGTGGAATGAGTGTGAGACTGGGAGCCAGGAACAGGTCTATTCTAATCCTGACTCTAATACTGATTTCCTCGGTGTTGATAAGCACATTGCTAATTCTGGCTCAATTTCCTATCCGTAAGAGAGCACTGAAAACTGTGTAACTTAAAGCACTGTTGAGACTATCAATGCGTTCAATTTTCAAGTGCTTTGGAAAAGATACTCCAGAAGTGCTGAGTATGAAGCACTTCATTGGTCCACGCCGGCCCAAAGTTGACTTTCACAGGTGAAGAAAATAAACTTAACGTAGCTGAGATTGGTATGTGGAACCAAACAGCTGCTTCAGTAGTGACGATGGAGCTGAAGACAATCTCAAACTCAGATCAGTACGTCACTTGTTCTCATTAAGCTATCTCTGTTTTCAAAGGCAACTGTCCAAAAGCTCCTATGCTGAAAAGGACATGATGCAAGTAGCTGTTGGCTTTTGAATTACTCAGTCTTAAAATGCATGTTGTGATAGGATGGACTGCTCATCGGAGAGACTGATTATTTATTTTTTCTTTCTCCCTCTTTTCCTGGCCTTTCCTGTTCTTGTAGAACAAGTAAGTGAATGTGCAGAGAGGTAGAAAACTCTTGTTTCTCATTCTTGTTGTTACTCGCTGCAGTGCTGAACTCTTGTTACCCTTCCTAAACAACTTCGAAAGGACAAGTAGTCAAATGCATACTCCTGTGTAAAAGTCAATCTGGGTGGTTGCTGGGATAATATCTGAGTTAGCAAAACCTTGCTGGAGGCATAGAAAACAGGATGCAAAGAGGAA